TGAGCTCATGAATTTCATCAAGACTCAGCAGATCCCCTGAAGGCCGGTTTAAATGCACATTTATGTAACCTCGTCTAGTGTCGTGACGCTGTCTTCGAGGCCACTTTTGATCGCAAAAAATGTCAAGATCGCCTATAAACTGCTGCCAAGAGGCAACTTTCTCTTCCTCTGAAAGATGTCGCCTGCCAGTCATCGAGATACTTTTTGGTGTGGATGCTTGGACAGCCTCGCCCTTGGGAGTTATGGGACTAAGTTTGACCCCATTAGCGGGATGGTGTACCCAAGAGCTCTGGCCAAATCTAGTGGTCATCCACCGGGTCATCTGACCTTCACAAGGGCTTCCGATGGCACTGGAGATGTTCCTTCTGTAAGGTGGTGGTTTTCCAAAGTCGCACTGAGTGAAGTTCCACACTTGGCCACTGGTTTGGCGCCCCCTTGATGGACTTCCTGTCCTCCTTGCCGTCTCCGTACTGCGAAGCGAAACAGTATCATCTAACAGGGGTGTCGTCTTTTGGACTGATGTTTTGTCCTTATTTTCTGGTCTTAGTAAGGGCATGAGGCTCTCCCGAGCCCTTCGATAGACGTGGGGATACTTCTGGCATAGAGTTTTGGGTCGTGGTATACCAGTTGGAAAGTCACGTCTCGGGAGAATGCGGAGGACAGTCGGAAGTGGAGTCCCCTCATTCTGCTCCGAAATGTTAGCTTCAGGTGCTTGTTGCTCGGCTTTCTCGTCCCGAGAAGCTTCGAGTGGCTTCTCTGTGCACGTCACAGGTTCGGATTCTAATTTTGTTTCCACATTCTCCTTTTTTTCGACTGTGGTCGATACGAGAAGTGGAGACCCCAAGGGAGTGACGGAAGTCAGGCTTGTTGCATCCTTCTGGTTCGTTTCTTGAACTTGGATAATTAACTCATGTGGTCGGCCGTCTGAATCAGATGTTGAAGTGCCATAGTCATCCTCAACCTCTTGCTCTTGTTCTTCACCCTCCTGTTGCTGCTGCTCTATGTCAGTAGAGTCATCGGATTGTGGTCTTCTTGCGCTTAAAGCCTCGATAGTATGGACTTCGTCCGATGATTCTCTTGACGATTTACTGACAGATGAACCCATGACAGTTCATTATTAGAGGGACAGCTTCAAGCTTACGACAAACTCTGTACATTTGAACCGCCCCAAGGCAAAAATCGATAGGCCTCGGAGGCGGCAACGACAGAACTGTGGTTCGCCAACCAATCAGACTTCAGTGAACTTCGCACGTCCACG